TTCTCTCTGTCAAAAATAAATAAACATTAAAAAATTAAAAAAAATTCTTTTGTTGAAAATCTTTAAGAAATAAACATTAAAAAAATGAAAGCATGCTTTGATAATAATTTTGTATGTATTCTTCTGGTTTTGATATGGAGTATATTATTTTTTTGTCTAAACAAAATCAGATTATTTTTTATTTTACTTACTTATTTTATTATTTTCCTCTTTGACCAAATGGCTTTTGGATGATAATTTGTTTTTAATGTTTAAAACATTTTTAATGTTTATTTTTAAGAGAGAGAGAGAGAGAGCATAAATAGGGGAGGGGCAGAGAGAGAGGGAGACACAGAAGCTGAAGCAGGCTCCAGGCTCTGAGCTGTCAGCACAGAGACCAATACGGAGCTTGAACTCATGAACTGTGAGATCATGACCTGAGTTGAAGTCAGATGCTCAACCAACTGAGCCACCCAGTTGTCCCCACATCTTTCTTTTTAAAATCCTTTTAGGGGGCACCTGGGTGGCTCAGTCGGTTAAGCGTCCAACTTTGGCCCAGGTCATGATCTCACAGTTTGTGGATTCAAGCCCCGCATTAGGCTGTGTGCTGATGGCTCAAAGCCTGCAACCTGCTTCGGATTCTGTGTCTCCTTCTCTCTTTGCCCCTCCCCCACTCATGCTCTATCTCTCTCCTTCAAAAATAAACATTAAAAAAAAAATCTTTTTTAAAACCCTTTTAGAGCATTCTCACACCATTCCTCTATGTGCCTGAAAATCCACTTTCTGAAGAGGGAAAATCCACAAGTGGGAGGCCTAAAGGAGATTGGATGGGAGCAATGGGGATATTTCGGTGGAAGGTGTCCCAGGCAGAGATCACAGAATATAGCAAGACTCTAGATGCTCAAAGAACTGTCTTGTGAAACTTAAATTTATGTAGGTGTATATCATGTTTTCTCCTTACCTTGGCTAATATTTTAAACTGGGCGGCTCCACTTTATGTCCCTTGGGCGCCTCAATATAACCTGTCCAAAAGTATACGTGCTGTTCTTGTGCTCCAAGCTTCCTCCTTCATGTCACCTCAGCCTACTCATCTTTCTATATCATAATCTGATATAAGATTAAGATTCTTTGGGAAAGATTCCTTTCTCTCTGTTACTCCTCCGTGGGTCACTGAGGATCCATGGTGGATTAAGATCGCCCCAAATTCTTTGTGTCTCTTCCCACCAGGAGGTGGGATTTATATCCCCTCCCCCTGTCTGGGCTGCCC